AATTAATGCCGTAATTGAACAACAAAAACATAAAAGTTATTATGAAATATTAATATTTAAATATATAAAAAATTAAAATCCGTTGCCAAAATTCTTTATTCGTTTAACGGTTTTTTTTTTTTTTTTTTGTTTAATTTCAAGGTAATATTTATAATTATTACCATTTATTATTGTTTTTTTTTTTTTTTTTTATTAAAAAATCATGAAATTTTATGTAATAGTTTAATCAACCATGAATGTCAATTATATATTAAAAAAAAAATAATAATAGAAGAAAAAACAAAAAAAAAAGTAAAATTCATATTTTAGAACTTTGGACTTGCTCATAGCTTTTTTTTTGTCGAACCTTCATGGTCACCATTAAAAATTTGTTAATCTTCAATAGTATTTTTTAATAACTATTATTTATTGTAAATTATTAAAATTATTTACTAAATTGAACTAGCAATCACAAAACTCAAGTATATAATTAATACTCGACTATTACAGAAGAAAAATTATATACATGTGAGCATAAAATCAAAAAAAAAAATAGATTTTTTTCCTTCTGCTCTTTTTAAACAAACTTATTCGCAAGTTTTTTCCTTAAACAAAATTATTCGTTCTGATGGGGGTGAGATAAAGCTCGATAAAACAAAAATGATTTAGCCTAATATATTATCATGAAAAAAAATTTAAAGTAAAACAAATTATTTTGTTATGTAAATAAATATCTTATTAAAATACATATATGTGTGAAACTTTAAACTTAAAAAAACATTCGATAAAATTTTTACTACCCGTTGATTGATTTACCGACTCTAAAAATATTCTCAAGTTATAAATTTTACATTAAAAAAAAATTATTAAAAAGTAGGTTTAAAATTTGGATTAAAATAGAATGCTTTTTTTTTTTTCACTAAGCATAATAATTTTGAAAGAAATTTAATTTGTGTCACATCAGTCAAAAAAAAAAAAAAATAATTTTAATCATGATGAGTCAATAAAATGCATTTTTATAAAATACCTACTTTTTGTTGTTGTTGTATTTATTTTTAAACAGTTTTTACAATGACTTGATAAAAATTGTTTAAATGTTGATAAAAATTAATTTAAAAAATAATAATAATAATAAAAGTTTTTGTTAGTTTAAAAATTAATATAAAAAGTGAAAACTTTTAAGGGTATTTTTTTTTATTTGCAAATAAAAACAAACTTAAATACTTCAATTTTGATTGCATTGCATAACCTAAAAGTCTTACACAAAGTTTAAAATGTTTTCTATTTTCTCCCCCCCCCCCTTAACGTTAAAACTTTGTTTATGATATAAAAAAATAGTTGGGTGTCATTATTTTTATAATTAAATAAAAAAAAATAAACGTGCACAAGAATAAATTAATTTTTTTTTTTAAATGGCGAAATGAAAGTATCTTGTGTCTACATTGAGAAATAAAAAAGCATTAAAACATTTTTTTTTGTATTGAAGCATTTAAGTTTATTATTTATAAAGTTAAGAAAATAAAAAAAAAAAAACAAGTACCTCCTCAAATTTAATTCAAATAATAAAAAAATACCCATAAAAAAAAAAAAAAAGTACAAATAAAAATTTACTCACCTCACTAATGTAATCGCAATATGTCTGGTTTTGTCAGGTGACACGTGATAAATTTTTACCGCCAAAAGTTTTGAAACAAAACGACGTGGCCTAAGAATAATAAAAAACAACTGCCAAAAAAAAAAAAAAAATTTTAAATAAAATAAAACTTTTTTTTTTTTTTCTTTTTTTTAAAATCTTAAATCGATTCTAAATTATTTTTTGTTTAAAAAAAATTAATTATATAAAAAAAATATTATTAAATTAAGGGCGCATTTTGAAATTATTTGATATATTACAAAAAAAATATTTTAAAAAATTTTTATTTTTACATTTTAAATTATTTACAGATGTTTAATTTTTTTTTTTTTCAGATCATCGAACGAAAGATTGGTTTCTCGTGGATAATCCTCTTCCACTTATAGCAATTCTTACATGTTATTTAATATTTTGTACAAAAGTCGGTCCTCAATTTATGAAAAATCGAAAACCTTTCAAACTAACAAATATTCTTTTGGTTTATAACGTTATTCAAGTTGTTGTCAGCGTCATTATACTTTACGAGGTAAAATAAAAATAATTTTTTAAGTGAAATCGACATATTTCGTTTATTTATAAATTTAAAACTTTTTTTCAATTTTTTTTTGTTAGGGTTTGATGGGAGGATGGCTTTTTGACTACAACTATAAATGTCAGCCTGTAGATTATTCAGAAAACCCTACAGCAAGAAGAGTATGTTTAAAATAGAAATATAAAAATAAATATATATATATATATATATATATATTTTTAAAATATAAAATTCCAAAACTAATTTTTTTTTTTTTTTCCTATTTTCAGATGGCAAAAGCTGTATGGTATTATTATATGTGCAAGCTAATTGAATTAAGTGACACTGTAAGTACATAAACATTAAAATTATTGATTTTTACATTTTAAAAAAATTTGTCTTTCATTAAATAATAATAATAATAATGGTTTATTAATAAAAATTTAGGTATTCTTCGTTTTGAGAAAAAAAGATAATCAAGTTTCATTTCTTCATTTGTATCATCATACAATGATGCCTATTTGTTCATGGGTGGGAGTTAAATGGCTTCCAGGTGGACATGGAACGCTTTTAGGTATAGTAAAAAATATTTTATTTTTATTATATTTTTATAAATGTTATCATCGTTTCTCAATTAATTGTTTATTTTATTTCAGGTGTCATTAATTCTTTCATT